CAAAGAGAGCAAAGCTCTGCGCAGGCACAACGGTAGTATTACTCAAGCAAACACCACTGCCACCATGCAACAACAACACACCACCAGTGGCGCACTAAGCAATGGCACAGTAAATCTAAAATCGAACACAGGCAATGCAAGTTCTAAAATGATCACTACCACCACCACCACTACCACAATGCGCTCAGTTGCAAACGGTGTGCAGGACAAGGGTAAGGAAACTCACACCGCCCAAGGAAAAGCCGATGCTGTGGCTGCCAAATCAGCCGACGCTGTCACCAAAACGGTGGTCCGTCCGGACGGCACAACTGTCACAACGACAACATCTTCGAAAACTGCAACGGTTAAATACGCTGTGGAGGCGAGCTCCACACACGAAAAAATTATAAGGTAAAAATAAGATTGCTGACTTGTGCAGTATCCATAATGAATTGGACAAAAAATTTATGTGAAAATGTTAATGAACTTATCTTTTATGTGCGAAATTTCGTATGCCTATAAAATTTTATTTTTCTAGCGCGCCCACTAACCCATCCATCCATTTCATCATTTGTATATTTTCTACTCATCAGCCTAATTCGTATCTACTCACCTGTTTATATATGTACATTAAAGTTTTAAAAACAAATGTTTTTTTACTCCAAAACAGCTCCTAATGTCTATAAAATTCCCACCGTCTTGGGTATTAGTAAAGAAGGTCCTATACGTTCGGCACCGGCCTTCACAATGGCTGGCAGACAAAAGCCACAGCTAATCCCTGCACTCTTACTTCCCGGTCCGGGTGCCTACGATGCTGAATACACAGTTCTGAAACATAAGCCACCCATGTATACAATGCGCGGCAAATTCAAGTACCCCAGTGATGAGCAACATAAACCTGGACCAGGTGCACACTGTCCCGAAAAGGTAATACGCTATCATTTTACATAATTTTTTTAAGTTGATATATGTGATTAAATAGTTACTAACATCTGCCATAGTATCAGTTGCATAGATCACCGCCTGCACCGTCATTTGCGATTCATCATACCCCATATTTGGGCCAAAGAAAAGCTTATATCATTCCACGTATATATACTTGCACAGCAAATCAATTTCCACAGTGACGAAATTCAATATTGCTTGTTAATTTTGGAACGATTTGGATACATAATTTTTTTTTATTAAAACCTTTCTCATATTAATGTATGTACATCCATTTTTGCTTGTGTCTGCTGAATGAAATACCAAAAATACCGATTTCCAAAATTTATGTACTCTGTATAAAGAATGGACACGAAAAAAACTAGTCAATTGTGTTTACTCATCACATACACGTATCTAAACAGTAAACATGTACTTTTGTGTGCATATATTTTTGTCACTTGGTATACCATAACAACTTTTGGACTTCCCTGCAAAAATCGCGACTACTCCATGCATGCATGTAAAGAGTACTCCCGAAGGTCCAAGGAGTACTCTAAAATTAACCACAATTCATATAAAAAATATGGTCCAATTAACATTGCGATGTCCTAGGGCAGGACCATGTACTCCATCTCTGCATTACATCAGAGTAGCACAAAACTACTCCCAACATACTCCAATGACATTATCGTTATATTTTTTCGTTTGTACACGCTTTTGTTCTTCACTTCGCAGATGCTTTTTTTTTGAAATTAATAAAAACCAGAAACAAAAATTAAAAATTACATGTTGCCTCTGACGACATTCGAACCCGAACATGCTGGGAGCTAAGAACTAACAGCTAGCATCTCTACACGTTCAGCTACAGCCAGACATACAAATGTACTTTCAAATGCTTAACTTCAATCACATGTCGTTAAAACACGAGCAGTGATCGGGTAACAATAAGCTGGTGCAGAGACACGAGTTGGTCCGCTACAGCATGACAGAGGAGCACTTTTGTAAGTACTCCAATATACCACAAATAGACTACATGGTCCAACGATTTTTGCAGGGTTACATGAAACCATATTTTACTACGTTCCAAATGTACCTAAAATAATGTGATTGTACCGAATGTACGTTCAAATTTAAGAAGCTGAAGAGTAGGTACAATTCAACCTAGTTTTACATCACTATTTCGCACCACACATTGGTTGCGTTCATAAGACGTAGCTGTTTAGCTCATCTGCTACGAAACTGCTGGCAACTGTTGAACCCAACAATTATGTCTTAGAAAGGGCTTGATGAATATGCTGCCAAATGAACAGCTGATAAATGTAAACAAATGAAATTGCAACAAATAGAGATAGTTGCGCCGATACTATTTAGAATTCAGCGCTGAGCGGCCGCCGTGTTGAAAAAATCGTTCAATGTTACAATGAATTAAACAGTGTAAAATTATATAGCAAACATCTTAAAAACATATTTAGAAACGTAGTATTATTATAAAATATTTTAGTTACTTGATCACGTCAGTAATATAAAATACAATAAGTTTGTTTGCAACTGCCACCTAAAAAAGCGCCGTTAAATTTAATATAAGCGGCACAATTTCCTTGTTTTTTGTTATTTTTTCCCCCCTAATAAGTACTTGGTGTGGCAAGCCATATGCCAGTGCGGCACGAGAGCAAAAAATTATGACTACGGGCTCCACGGTGCAGCGAACAAAGGTGGCGCCGTCAGTGGTACCGCTACTTTGGTTTTGCCGATTTTGACAGTTGTGGTAACTTGTAAATAAACCTTTGTTTACAAAGCAGCGAAAGAGAAATTTGAATTATAAATGAAAAATCAGTTTAAATCGTGTTAATTTGCAATTTGTGAGTGATTTTTGAGTTGAAGACTGCGTAAACACTAATACAATGAAGTGCTGTGTGTTAAATTGCTACAACCGTCAAGATGCAAGAAGCGTAGATGCAAGTGCAGCGCTGTGACGAATCGGTGCATTTTGTGTACATAGGTATTGTGACCAACTATTTCATAGCTCAAAGAAGTACAGGTTAGGTTGGCTTAGGTTAACGCCGCGAACCGATTACGAGATTTCGAATGCAGCTTATCTCGATCCCTGAGAGCTCAGTGTTTGTTCAGAGGTGCGAGCCAAAATGCTGTCATTTTAGCCTCGGAAAGGTTGGACAGTCTAAAAGGAAGTGTGGCGATGATTCTACTTCATCTTCCTCTTGACAGCTGATACTAAAGGATCAGCCGAATGAATACCAATCGCACAATGGTCAGAACCCCCATAACTAGATAGCCCTTGAGTGGCAACGTGTTTTAAAGTGCCCTATACAAACATTTGCTGCAGCTGAGAAACGCCTTCTTTTTTATGTCACAAAAGGACCGGGTTTCCCTTAGCCTAATAGCAGTTCGTGCTGCGACAATTCTGTCTGCAATATCCGCAGACGCCGTGTTCAACATATGTATGTTAAGTGCCAGTGTAGGTGTGGTTCCTAATGCTCCGCTTATTCCTGTTTTACAGGTGTAGCGTTCTTAAGTGAGTTCCACTAGACAAGGGGTCCTTGAAACAATATAGGCTTAAATCTGGTTTCCTAGAGCTAATGAATTAATTTGGGCGAGAGACCCGACCTTTTACCGATAGCCGTACAAGGCAACCGACACCTTTCCTACATTTTCCTCAATGTTAGGCTTCCACGACAGCCGCCGTTGATCGCCCACCTAGTTCCCTGGTTCAGGTAATCTTGAGCCAGATCAAAAAGTGTGAATAGAAATCGTCCCGTAACCAAAAGTTCCACATCATCTACATAGGCGATTGCCCGACAGCCCACTTTTTCCAGTTCCTCTAGAAGGTCGTTTACAACCGCAATCCAGAGCAGGGGAGAGAGAACACCGCCTTGTGAAGTGCTCTTAGTGACTATGTACTGAGTGCAGACGCTTTCCCACTCCGCCGCGACAGTTCTGTCACAAAATAAGCTTATTAGGTTGGTTTCAACCCCCATATTATGAATATACTTGACTTATGCCCCTGGACTGACGTTGTTGAAGGCCTCCTCGATATCGAAGAAAGAGCCTACTGAATAATCTTCATGCGTGAAGGCTTCCTCTGACCACTTTACCAAGGTCTGCAGGGCGGTATTCACCGACCTTTTCTTGCAATAATCATATTGAGCTCTTGAAAGACAGTCACGGGAAATCGCGAAGAGAATGATAGGCCTAAAATCCCTAGGGGAAACATGAGAGTCTTTTTCGGCCTTCGGGATGAACGCAACACTGACTACCCACCAAGTCCTGGGGATGTACCCGGTCCTCACGCAGTTCGCATAAATAGGATCCAACCAATTGCATGACACCATCAGAGCCCTTTGCAGCTGCGCAGGTATGATGTCATCGGTTCCCGGCGACTTTAATGGTTTGAACAAGTTTATCGTCCAGGCCATGTGGCGATCGGTCAGAAGATCGGAGAAGTCCAGGACCTAGGGGGAGATTCTGTAACCAGTTAGCGAAAATTCTGGAATCGCTATCGCACTTTTTGACCCAAAAATATTTATATCATGCATCAAAAAGTGCGATAGCGATCGGAAAATTGTCGATAACTGGTTACAGAATCTCCCTTCTGAAGTAAAAAGTATCACAAAGAAGTACATTTGACTGTACTTCGAAGTACGAAGTACAAGACCGAAAAAAGAAGTACTATACTTCCGAAAGAAGTACGGTTGGTCACATTATACATAGGGCACGGCAAAGCCGTTCCCAAAATGTTTCTCTATTATTATATTAACAGCATTTCCTCATAATGATTTTGTTTCTGCTCCACGCAACCTCCATTAGCAAGTTAACTTATCAGTCCCGCAGAGATGCTGCTGCAGTTTTCTGCAGCAGCCTTAATTGCAAAGCAATGGAGTGTTCTAAAACGTTTGCTGAAGCAGCCTCAATTGTAAAGCAATGGAGTGCACTACAATGTTCACTGTTCTCTAATATATTAGGTGAAAAATGCAATATTTTCGCATTTAGCAAAATTAAAACACGTTTTTCGCAGTAAAGTGAACTGCTTTGGCTGTTTCAACTCGTTCTTCTTTTCGCTCTATTCTTTGTTTACTTGTAGTACACAAATGTCAACACCCAGGACGGCGCAATCTTGTATTCTATCATTCTTGTACGGGCTCTATAAAGCAACATAAAGCTCTGTTCTGTCCCGATTTAGCATTGTGCCATTACAGCCCCTTCGGCATGAACTGGTATGTCAGTCACGGGGTATATCTTGTTCAAAAGGACCACAACCTACCAAGCTGTTCAGTATTGCTACCCGTTGAAAATTATTGAAAGAAAATAGATAAAAACGAAAGAAGGCATCAAAAAGTTATCAGAATTTCAAAATTAATTCAATAACGGATGTCCGTATCCTAATGGAAGGACTCAAATGTAAATTGTGCCATTTTGTTTATAATGAACATAATTGAAATAAGTTTTTTTGTTTAATATAGTAAGCTTTGTGAAGAAGATGAGAAAGCAAAAAACACTTTTCGTAGATTGTGTAATAAGTTGTTATAATAATTTTCAGCTGACCAAAATTTGTCGTGTCCATTCTTTACTTCAGATCTGTATTGTGTTAAATCACACATATCTAATGTCTATATGCGAATATTTCTATTTTGATCATTTTAGGTGAATCTTTCACACGTTCCAGCTTACAGCTTTGGTATTAAACATTCGCCCTACATTGGACAACTTCACGAACAACGCGATAACAGTTTCTCGGGCATATGTTGAAACTCAAAGCTTATTCGCGCTGGTCATCAAAACTCCAAGACGGTTTACTTCAGTTACAACTTCACACAATAACACGAACTAACCTAAGTTATACTTTTAACTGTTCTAACTATTTTTTACGCTATTGAGTTTGTAAATCCTTAACAACGTTTTGTAAAACTATAACTATTAAGCAAAAGTTCGAATAAAAGACATATTTTAAAGTTATATTTATTCTTTCTCTGTTTTATTAACTAGCGAGCCAAAATCTTCTTTCTAAACTCTCCTAAACTTTATTTTGGTCACTTTTTTTAACAAGTTACTGCATTTATTTACGGCTGGAAAGGTGTTGTTTTGGTTCTTCGCATCCTCTTAATGTGTCATTCTTTAAGATTCCATAAAAAAATTACACTGCGGGACAATTTTATGGCAATTCAAACCGGCCCGGACTTTGCTAATATTTTCAGAAAGTATACATATCCAGTAATAAATCACTCGATGGATTTGCGAAAGTAAGTTCGTATTTTTTTACCTCCCTTTTATTAGCTCGGGATGTAACTATGTAATATTGATGCGCCTAAAAGATGCAGCGATTTCTGTTCGCAAGTTACATACCTGATGACAGTACGAATGGAAATTATAATAGAGGTTTTAGTTTTTTAAACTATAATTTTATTATTTTATGGCCTTCTAAAGTTTCATATCCCGTCCTAAGTAGTTTTCAAACAAAGTAAAAAATTGCTAAAATAAATGTCTGAGCGAAATTAAAGTAAATTTACATGGGAAATATTTTTTAATTTTAATTTAATTTAATTCATCAATTAGAGTACAACTCAAATAGATTACTAAATGTAAAAAGTAATAATTAACAATATAAATGTGTAAATATAGAAATATAGAAATATAGAATAATAGAATAATAGAAATATAGAAAGGAAGAAAAGATGACCCCCAGATCTTTCTTTTCATAAATTTTAGTGAAGGTGGCAGTGCCCAACCTATAATGATAGTCAACTGTCATTTTACGTCTACCGCAGGACATATACTGGCATTTACCAACGTTGAGAGGTGAACAGTTAGCATCACAGTAAACAGTTTCCACTTAAATTAAACACAAACGAAATTTTATTTTTAAATTACAATAATGTTAGATATATTTAGTTATTCTAAAATAATTACAAACTTGAACTTCATAAGCTGCTATATTTTGGTGGGAAATATTTCTTTTGGTTTGTTTCGATTTCACACATTCCTAGGCAAACAACTGATTTCGAAAGATGTTTTCACTCTTCCTCTTCTTCTTTCCATCGTAACACAGAATACCTAAGTTCGATTCTTGCGGAGCGGAATGCGGGAACGTAATCGAAATGCACAATAGGGCTGATTACAGAGGAGGGTTTCGTAGAATATTTTAACCCATTAGCTCCAACCTGAAAGGGTCGTTTCGAACCATATCTCAAGAAACTCCTCAAAAACTTCACCGCTAATCTGCATCTCTTTCTATTCGCATTTTGCTACGAATCGTAAAAATAGCATGCTGAAATCCGAATCGTATTTTCGAACTTTCGAAATTCGTAACAATGCCATACCCAAAAACGAACGAGTAAGAAATTAACAGCTTTTTTGCGTAATTTTGTACGAAATAGATAAAAGATGTAAATCAATGCGTGTTTGAAGGAAATATTAGTGGTGTTCATTTAAACAGATAAATTTTCGTTTCGTATATACGTATATTTTGATCCACTGCTTTATATAAACGAACAAAAAGGAATCTCTGTTGCCCTTATCAAGAAACTTGGGTCCGGTTTAGGTATTTGTACAATGATTTTCGGTTGCTGTGTCCATACGCACACCCCGAATCTAAAAACTTTTACATACACGTATAATCAAAGGATTAAACTTTAATTTAAAATAAATGTTTCAAATTTCCGAGCAATGGTTTATTAATAAATTCGGTTTGCACTATGCACTTTTTTGTAAATTTTGATGCGGGTTCTGCGCAAAAATACTGTGGATGGCGTAGCCGGAGTTATATGCACAAGAAATGTTGTATGCCTTTGACATGCGGAAGCCCTTCTTCTCCGGCAACACAGAAAGGAGAATTATACTTAGTAAGGGTTATAATCCCTAAGCGCGGCCGAAGGCAGAAGCAAATGCAACAGATGGTGGACCCCACAAAGTACATGTTTTCAATGGCTTGGAATAAGCTGTTATTGCGTTAACTGGATTGAGAACCAGTTCTTCTGGCATTGGAGGTTGTGGTTGAACAATTTAACCAGAAGCTCACATAGATGCGTCCATGGTTACTAAGCCCGACAGATCCGCATAGCTTTGTGAATTCACTTCCATAGCCCTCCTCTTCCTCTGCTGCTATAATTGCAAATGGAATAGAATCCCTCGTTACCTTCAAAATATGTAAAATCAAAAAATTTTGCCATAAATAAGCACTTGATGAATGTTTTTTTAATTCCTTTCCACTTTGTTTTACTTCATACAAACAACTTCGAAAAACAACTGATAGCTGGAAATGCTGCACAGGTTTGCGCAAGGGTTGCAGCATGTAGATTTTTCGTTTTTCGTAACGTAGCTACGAATTACGAATTACGAAAATTCGGGTTCCCGAATAGGGGTGTAAATTTGGAAGTTCGTTAGAGGACTGATGTGTTCTAAAAAATTATTCTTCCGAAAATTTTACTATGAGACTTCTCAAACAAAAACTTGATGTCACCAACGTCAAAGTCTCTAACAAATTTAATTTAAACAAGTAAGAAAGTCTAAGTGCGGGCGGAGCAGAACATTAAATACCCGGCGCAAATACTAAATATATGATGTTCACCTTTCCGAATGCTACCGCTACATGGTAAGCCGGGGTGTATCAATTTTGAGTAAATTAGCGTCCTTAAATTTCAAAATATTGACGTTTCAAGCATTTCTAAAATTTACCGTTATATGAAAAGCCATAATTTTAGTCCGATTTCAGTCATTTTCATAGTTTTGCTTTTAGCAAGCACAATAAAAATACCGAGTTTGGTACAAATTAGTAGAACGGTTACCGAGATACATATATGTGATCATAAGTGGGCGGTGCCACGCCCATTTTTCAAAATTTTATTATAGACGTATTTCCTGGTAAGGAATTGTTGCAAGCAAAAATTTTGAATAAATTGGCTTTAATATTTACTGATTTATCGAAGATTTCGTATTTCTCCAAATTACCGTTATATGAGATGTGGGCGTGGTTATTGTCCGATTTTAAAAATTTTCGGCCATTTGGTATCCTGTACCAAGGCCAATAACTGTGCCAAGTTTGGAAGAAATCGGCGCAGCGGTTGCCAAGATATACACATGTAACCATAAGTGGGCGTGGCTACGCCCATTTTTAAAAAATTTATAACATTCTTATTTTTCGTCTAAAAATTATTGTAAATATCAATTTTGAGTTAATAATCTTCAGTAGTTACTAAAATATCGCAGTTTTCGTATTTCTGAAAAGGCGTGGTCTGGAGGTAGGCGTGGTTATTGTCCGATTTTGCCCATTTTCAATACCATCCGTCCTACGCCCGAAAGAAGTACACGTACCAAGTTTCGTTAAGATATCTCAATTTTTACTCGAGTTATCGTGTGCACAGACGGACGGACAGACAGTCACCGCTTAATCGATTTCTCTGTTCATCCTGATCATTTATGTATACATTTGTCTATATCTTTCTCGATTCGTTTTGCCTGTTACAAACAACCGTTATGTGAACAAAGTTATAATACCCTTGTGCACAAGTGCGCTCGGGTATAAAAATCTATGCCAAGACGCCACCAACAACAGCCAAACTACATAATTCTTTTTTTTTGTTGAAAAAAAAATCGTTGGGGTGTTATTCCTTCCCTCCTTTTAACCGACTTCAAAAAAATTAGGAGGCTATCAATTCGTCAGAATATTTTTTTTTTTATATGATACCGTTATGCGGACCACGTTAACCGATTACTATAATTCTTTTTTTTAAAGGAAAGGTGGTACCCCATACTGTGCTGTGGTGGTTCCATACTTATTTGGTTTAGATCCGATCATTGGATCATGAAGAGATTAACGTTACTCTTCAATTTTTATATGAGAATTGAAAACGTTTTTTGCTTAAAAATTACTTCTTTTATTTAATTTTTTCCTAATTTTAATTTCCTTGGCGAATTCTTCTCAAATATTAAGGGTACTCATTTAAAAGCTCATTAAACTCTCGCAAACTGGGCAAACTGTGCAATTTAAAACCCTCGCAAATGAAATGTCAAAATTTGTATTGAAAGCTATTTGCACAAAAAGACTGCTTTTACACAGTTCAAGTATTAAATTCAATTCTGCTCGCATATGGGAGAGAGGGGGTGAGAAGAAAAGGGACGAGTACACATGCGTCTGTACCGTCAAGTCGTTTCAACTTTCTTGCTTTGCTTTTGGCATTTTCGTTGCTTTCCATTTAAAGAACCAAAAACTTGAATTCAACAGAATTGAAACGTGTAAAAGCAAATAGAAAACGCAAAAGAGAATGGGCAAGAATTGCTTTCAAGTACTTGAAACATGTAAATCGGGTGAAAGGGCAAGTTTGCTCGGAAATTTTGACGCGCAAATTTGCGCAGTGTGATGTGCAACCCTCAATTAACTATTTTGTTTACTTTCATTTTGAATTGTGCTCAACGCTTTTTCGTAAGACTTAAATATTTTCTTAAATTCGAGTTTCAATTGTTCAACTTTTTAAATTAACATTGTCAAATAATTAAATTGAAATGAAATTGCACAGAATATAAAATTGTCCTCATGAAACAAACTGCGCAAAGTTGCCTAATTGCCCAAATATAAAACTTGCGCGAATCGATGAGTACCCTTATTATGTTTCTTTACATACAATTTTCATCTTGAATGAAATGCATGTGAATATTCACTCACAATTGGAAATCCAATTACTTCAAGTTAAAAATATAGTACGAAATGTTATGTCGTTCCGCTAGGTATACCGCACTATGCGGCCTAGTTGGTCAACTTTGCCGCGCAGCGTCGCTTCGCGTAGCTCCGCTGCACCGTAGTGCGGTATGCTCCATAAGAATACATGCAAAGAAATACATGCATGTAGTGTCGTGTCGCGTCGCCTAGTGCGGTCGTAGCTTTAAACCATGATACAATAACTACAGGTCGTAGCAATTGTACAAAAACAACATTTACCGTTGGTATGAACTCCTTGTGTCATCAA